GCATTCGTGCACACTTTCTGCACCAGAAAACGTTGGAAAAGCTGATCAACTTCATTACGCAAAGCGAGCGCGACGGCGTCGTACGAAAGACATCCAAGGCAAATGTGTTTAGAATTCCTAGTGTGTCAAAAAAATAAGTCAAATAAGTAAATCAACATAAATTTTGTAGACTAGAAAAAGGAATGTTAGTGAGAATGACCTGAGTATTGATTTGGATTCGAGCAAAAAGGATGCAAACTAAAGATCCTGAGGAATAGCATCTTCGAAAAAAAAATGGCTCAGTATCATATCTCCAAATCAAAGCTGTGTGCAAACAAGCGACAGCGTTGAAGAAAAGGCAGTTGCGGATAATGAGTCAATATCTATAAAATGGCCAGCGGTCTCACCGGATTCTCATAAAGGAGACACCTAATCTTGAAGGAAACTTTAGTGCGGCGAAATAAAACGCAACCCAAGACAGACAGCAACGTAATACGTAAAAGGAGTTCTAAAAAAGCACTTTTGACAATCAGATTGTTTTGCATTCCAAAGGAAACTTAGAGCACTAAATGGAAGCAATCCGGTAGAATGAGTTAAATAATAAGCCCTCAGTCTTGTTTTTTACAAAATACAAGGGGAAATGTATACTTACAAACGAGAGCAGCGCTACGATCATTTTTCTGCGACTCGGGCACCTTCTTCAGCACAGCGCCTTTCCGAATGTCCGCCAAAAAAGCTGGGCCTCCACCCCCGCCTCCACCCATAGGAGGTGGGGGCGCGGCAGGAGGGGGCGGAGGTGGGGGTGGGGGTGGTGGCGGGCCGGGCATTTCGAATGAATGGTCCTTGGGTCAGCTAAGAATGATGACAATAAATTCCAAGCGACATGCAGCAAGAACGTTCAACGCAGCAAAGGGAATGATAAAAACCTGCTAACCAAAGTCATTCCATACTAATTACGGTAACCACCGAACCAGTTTGCATATGCTTCTAAGAGCAAAAACCCAACCAGTACATTGAAAATTAAAGATTATTTTAGAATAAGCAAACGAAATAAGCCCTGTGAGAAGGTTAATACCGATGCTATGCACATAAGAGACAATCGATGCTTGTTTCGACAGGTGTACAATATCACGACTTACATGCGACGTAAAAAGTTATTCCGGCCTTTCGTGGATTATTACAAAATCCATAAGTCACAGGCAAATCCAAACCTCAAGATCATATTAAAAATACAAGCATTGATGACATTAGGTCATAATTTGCCATACAACCCATCGTTCAGATGAAACAGGTGTGCAAATGATTGTCAATAAAACAGCCGTTGCACGTCATGGGCCCCAGGCTACGACAAAATGGATCGAAACCCTTACAAACGCCAGCACATTTGTCACACAAAAAACAAGATAGTGCAAAGCTAGAGACGTTGACGGCACGAAGCAGAAAGATTATTGGATTCAAAAATATCAAGAGCCAATCGTGAAACATTTACACAAATTACGAAGACCTAGCCAGTACAA